CAGACAAGAACATAGACAAAGACAAGATCAGACAGAACAGAACAGGAAGAAGAAGAGAGAGAGGAACATGGGTCAACAAGAGATAAGGAATGGAGGGATTAAGCAGTTATATGGCGAGATATGGAGGAACTGGCAACACACCTCCTTCAAGGTTAGGATGAAGGAGGACAGGCTAATGGGAGAGGCGGAGCGGGCGTGTGTGCGTTTGATAAAACATGGAATAAAAAAGATTAGGTTCGGGGGAGAGGGAAGGGGATGGATAGGTAGGGCGGATGAGGAAGGGAGAAGGGAAGGAGGGAGGGGATGGTAGGAGGGGAAAGTGATGACAGGGTAGGGGGAAGCGAAGGATAGAGAGGGAGAAGGGAAAGTGGGAGGGAGGAGTGAGGAAGAGAAGTAATAAGAAGAAGAAAGGAGAGAGAGAGAGAGAGAGAGGGAGACAAGAGAGACGAGAGAGAAGAGATGAGAGAGAGAGAAGAGAAGAGAAGAGAGAGAGACGAGAAGAGAGGAGAGAGAGAAAATAAATATCCTAATGGAATACTTTCGTTCCTGGTCTTAACCAGCCTTTTCCCTAAAACCACTACCATCTCCCATTACTTACTTATCAGAATGTAACAAAGCCGTCCTAACACCCTTTAGTTCCTTGGATTTGTAAACACGCTTGTCCACCTATACTGTACCAAAGAACCGCGAGTATGACAAAGCTATTTCTATGCTACAAGATCCCTGGAATGCAAAGTAACCACATCCTTGCCCTACGCCTACTACAGTAATGGCAAACAAACCAAGCAGTCCCGATTCTATATTCCGCTGATACAGATAGAATAAGATTAGATAGGATAGATAAAAATAATCGGAATTCCTAAACCTACTATGGTAATGGACAAAATAACCGCCAGTTCTAATTACCCTGATAGATAGATTAGATAGGTAGACAATAAATAAAATAGGAATTCCTACCTTACTACAGGTAATGGCAAACACCACTCCGTTTACTAATTCCCTGATAGATAGATGATAGGTAGATAAAAATAATGGAATGTCCTACCTAACTACAAGTAATGGCAACAAACGTTCTAAATACCCTAATAGATAGATAGATAGAAAAAATAAGCATTGATGATTCCTGAGTTACATGAGATATAGCGAGCTTGATAGAAAAAAATACTTATTACATGAAGATATAGCGCACTGACGCACTATATAGAGAAAAAAAAAATCAGTATTCCGGTCACTTTTCCTCATCTTGTATTCTTGATTTTTTATTGTAGATGTGCGCATGAATTTATGAGCTCCCTCATTGATCAGTTTTGGCTGACCCGGTTTCATCTGGAATAACAACCAACGAAAAAATAAATATATAAGATCTCTCCTCATTTAACGGCGAGATTTAATGGCAGTTTCCTAACTAGATTTACTATCTTGCCCTGGCTTTATATCATGTTGTTTATTTTATGTGACCCGATCTCCGGAGGGTAGGCGTGACCTCGCGTGTAATGGCACCCCATTCAGTAAAACGACTGTCCTCTTATTGGCAACGCTGGGTATGACATGACCGATGAAGAAAGAAGCTGTTGTTGTCTTTTAATAGAGAGTGTTTTACTTTTTTGTTGTTGTTTTAAGTCTTCTCCTGTCTTTGTAGATCTTTTGATTATATTATTTCTTTATGTTTTGTCTGTCTGTCTGTATTTTTTTGTCCGTCTGTCTGTTGTCTCTCTCTTTCTTCCTCTTTTCTCTTTCTTTCTTTCTTACTTAATTTCTCTCTCTCTCTCCCCCCCCTCCCACTCATCTCTCTCTTTCCCTCTTCTCTCTCCTTCTCCCTCCCTCCTCTCTCTCCCCTCCTCCATTTCCTACAAGAAATACCCGCCTATACCCTTCAAACGCGACACACTTCACCACCATCAAGGATTACCAAAACCACTTCTCTCTTAATCCTCCCACTCCCTTCTCGGCACTAAAAACACTTCGCACTCCTTGGCCTCTCCACCCGTGACAGACAGCCTGGCACTCATGACAAATTTTTGGCGAACCAGAAAAGCCGGAGAGTGAAATAGAGAAGCTTCGGAGGCAGCACCAATTTCTTGCCAGCGACTCCAGATGGTCGTATGGTGTTCATTGTGTGTATACATATATTATGTATGTATACACATATATATAAACATACACATATATGATAAATATATACATCTGTGTGCGTGTGGTGTGTGTGGTGGGGGGAGGGGGATAAAATAAATAGATAGAGATATATATAGAGATAAATATAGAACTATATCTATATATAAATCTTTCTCTCTCTCTCTCTCTCTCTCTCTCTCTCTCTCATCATCTCCTCATCTCTATCTATATATATATATATATATATATATAATATATATATATATAGTATATATATAGTATAAGTATATTATATATATATATATATCAATATAATATATATATATATATATAATAATATATATATATAATATATATATATATATACATTTACAATTACACACACATA